TAAAATTATTATTTGTCAGTGGAACGAGTCTTTTTTCCTTTGCTTTATAACACTATGGTTTATTAAATTTTCTATCCATTTCTTTTTTTTTATTTTAATGATCAAGACATGTACTGTTGATTTCCGGTACTCATTGTACTTATAATTTTCCTTAATTATTCACATCTACTTCTAATTCTTGTTAATTTAATTTCAAATCCCCTAATCATCTTCGCGATGACATTCTTTCTTACCTAAAAGTTTAAGATATATATTTATGACAAAACCCTCCCTTTAATTACAACCCTAACACTTATTATTTTTCATACAGATCTGCCTACCCGATCATTGTCACACACACACGACTCATGACTTACCACCCAGCTTGTAACACATACAACACAATCCCAATACATCACCATGTCTACACTACCTTAATCATCCATACACATATTTTACAATACGTATATCCCGAGGGAATTTTCTTACAGTGAGAGAAAATATAATTTATGTATGACAAATATACAATGAAAATATAAAAAAATAAATAAAATAGATAAAAACAAAATAAAATAAAATAAAAGATAAATAAGTATTTTCTCCATTGGCAACTTGCAATAGGATCATCCCAAAAACAACAAACAGTTTTAGGGTTTCTCTTTAGTTATGTTAGGGCTTCGATTAAACCATATGGCATAGAAAAAGAGTTCAGGTATTCTTACTTCAAATTAGAGATCGAAAACACCGCCTCTCACGGTCACCAGTCGCGACCAAGCCTTTCACTCTTAAGTTCTAAATTTCCCTGATGAAATTGAAGAATTATTTGTTTAAACGGTGATGGAAGGACAGATGTCTATGAAAAGACAATTGTGCTTCGCCTTATGGTCCTCTTACTCTGGTGTCCCTCTCTGCCCTTTCTGTTTCTCCCTTGTTAGCTAAGGTTTTTATAGCCAACAAGGGAGAGGTTTAAATATCCCTCTCCCTTAAATCTTGACCATCTAATCAGGCTTGCATGGTGTAAGGGGAGTTGTTCGATCAGGGGTCATTAAGGGTGATTTCAACTTTTCTCTTCGTGAGTTTTCTTGATTGTTAGATTGATTGCTCTTATAAATATAGGTTGTTCATCGCATGGACCGTTGGATCAACACGTGATCAATCAGGACCATTCATTAAATGTTCGACAGGAATGTGATCTAAGTCGTATGTGCG